CCCCCCCCGCACACACACGCACAGATGCACTTGGCCAGCCTCCTCAGGGCTGGGAGGTGGCCTGCCCTGGGCCCCTGTTTGCTCCACGTTTACACTGTAGTAAAAATATGCCTTTTCTCTGTCGGCCAGAGATCTGCAAGGTTGGCTTTCTTGCATGGCTCCTCCTCTGACATACAGGGAAGAGCAAGGAACATTTACTGATCACCTACGACCTGTATGGGTGTATTTTAAATTTCTGTTAAGATGCTTTTTCTCATTGCAGAATTTCCTTTGACTCCTCCTTAATTTCTTATAGGCAAGTGTTTATTTACACTTGCCTTGGTGGAAATTGAGATTGCCAGCTGTCTTTATGAATAGTCAACGTCACTAAGTGTCCCTGAACTGCAGTTAGTTGATCTTGTCTACTTAGTTATTATAAAGCTGAGACCAAGCCGCAGAGTCAGGTGTTTATTGTGCAAGCTCAAGTGAACAGGAGCTCATGGCTAAAATAAGTTCTGATCTAGAAAGCGCGATGGGACTTCCCTGGTGGCTAGTGGTTAAGAATCCGCCTGCCAATGCAGGGGACATGGGTTCGAGCCCTGGTCCGGGAAGATCCCACATGCTGCAGAGCAACTAAGCCCGTGTGCCACAACTACTGAAGCCCGCGCACCTAGAGCCCGAGCTCCGCAACAAGGGAAGCCACGGCAATGAGAAGCCTGCGCACCGCAAGGAAGAGTAGCGCCCACTCGCCACAACTAGGGAAAGCCCGCGCACAGCAGGGAAGACCCAACTCAGCCAAAAATAAATAATTAATTTAAAAAAAGAAAAAAAGCGCGAAAGACCACAAGACAAATTGTGCAGTTCAATAAGTGACCAGTCTATGACTTTCTAAACTGTTAACCTGTTTTAAATTTAATGGTGCATGAAAAAGATCAGAGGGGAGGGATAATACTAATTGTCTTTTTCCAAAACCAGTTCAGCAGTTATTTACCTTTCAAGCAATTAACATAATTACCATTATGCTAAAAAGCAATTTTGGGAAGTTCTGCCCTGAGCTCTTATGATTCCACTGGGACAGTTTTAGTTGGGACTTATCTTTTTGATGGAACCCTAATTGCAGTTTTGGCTTTGTGCATGCAAACAGAAGCAGCTAATTGTTTAGGCAAATAGCAGATTAATTTAAATATGCATCCCTAATAAAACAAAAATGGTATCCATTATGGTCCTTGTTCCTATGATGAGGAATATAAATATTCTGTGCAAGTACCATTAGGTGGAGGTCTTAAGGATTGTTGACATTATTTCACGGTGGTAGCACTTTCCTGATATTCAGTAATCTTTACAAAAGCTAACATAAATCAGTTTAAACTCATTTAGATCCCATTTCCACTATGTGCAGTTTCATTACCACACTCTGGCTGGCCTCCTTTGGGAGGTGGAAGGGGCATGCTGCAAACTGGCATGGGTGCCCATCCACAGCTGCTGAGCAGACTTTATGTCTCCTCCAAAGACTGGCCATCGTTACTCATCTCCCCCTTAATGACTGTTCCTAGGCTAGGGTGAACTCAGAGTTCCTGCAGCCCTGGTGCTGCTTGTCAAGGTGGAGGGCCCAGAGAGCAGTGGGACTGCCAAGCCCTACTTCTGTCTACTTTATTGGGCTGATGGCCCTCACTCATTGTGGTCTTCCGCAGTTTTTGAGAGACCCTTGTTTTGTTTTGTTTTTTTTTGCCTGTGTCCTTTTCATTTTTCTCATGAATGAAACAGTATTGTGATCCCAGCACTAGCTCAGAGGTCAGCATCTTTCATGCAGCCATTGAGGTTTTGTCATGGAGAAAGACAGGCACCTGGTCTCCTTTCAGCTTTCCCGGTGTGGGTGTCAGCTCCAGCTCTGAGGGTTATTTATGCCTGGTTCAGGGAATGATGGCAATGACCTGTTTACTAAGTCACCACACAGAAGCTCCCTTTGCATTTGCTGAGAAGTTTTCTCTTGTTTCACCTTGGCCTAGCATACAGGATAAGGGTGGTAGATACCTTTTGGAGTGTCTCCTTGCTCTGAAGCCCCTCTAGAGGTAGACATATTCATAGAATTTGAGTTGGTCTTTTGACATCAGCTGAGTAGACAAGGATGGGGACCCCAGGCCTGGGGGCGGCTGATTCATGTTCTTGGCTGAACCATTTGGGCTGCAGACTTTCAGTCTCAATTGTGTGCTTGGAGTAGAAGACCTTGTGAAGTGGGGAATAGAGAAGGTTGCTTTGTGTAGAGAGGGAGGGATGCACAGTTACAGAGAGAAGCAGAGGCAAGATGTATGGTGCAACAAGAAACGTACTACCTTGATCTGAATGTTTTCCTACTTCCGGTTCTGATCCCTTTTACTGTCCAGCTGTATTTCCTGCCCTTGGGTTCCATGAAATAGCCTTGTTCCTTTTCAGCCTGTTTCCTTTTGTATTTAAACGAGTTTCAGTGGATTTGTTTCTTAAAACCAAATGTTCCATTGCTAAAACATAAGACAAACATTCAGCAAACCTTTATTGATGTTCAGCCACTTTCAGTACTGTGAAGTCACTCTGTAGGAAATGTAGCAGAAAAAGGACACAATCCTGCCACTTCAGAAATCCACCCAATACTAGGAGCCAAATCCATATTAGTGCTGTGTCTGCAATATGATAAAACTTGGCCTTTCAAATGAATTTACATCAAATTTTTAAAATCATCACCTGTTTGGGAAGGAAATTTATTTGGCTCTGATAGGTATTGACTAATATTGTGCAATGTATGTGGACCCAGTTCAACTTGAAATGTCTGCGTAAGTTAGCTGCTCCTTTTTGGGAATCTTAAAATAGTTTGACAATAGGACTTATCCATTTTTAAGCTTAGCCATTGTCCCATTGCAGTTTGTGTATATATCTTTTATATTTTTGTTATATTTTCGTGACTATAACATGTCTTTCTGCAGTGAGAATTTTGTGAGAACAGAGATCACATCCCTCCTGTATGCTCCCAAACAAGATGCTTGGTGATGCCACTAGAATGTCAGCTCCATGCGGTCAGGGACTTTTTTGTTTTTTTTGTTTTTTTTTTTTCTTTTTTCTTTTTTTTTTTTTTTTGCGGTAAGTGGGCCTCTCACTGTTGTGGCCTCTCCCGTTGTGGAGCACAGGCTCCGGACACACAGGCGCAGTGGCCATGGCTCACGGGCCCAGCCGCTCCATGGCTCACGGGCCTAGCTGCTCCATGGCATGTGGGATCTTCCCGGACCGGGGTACGAACCCGTGTCCCCTGCATTTGCAGGCGGACTCTTAACCACTGCGCCACCAGGGAAGCCCGACTTTTTTGTTTTATTTTGTCTTGTTCACTGCAGTTTCCCCAGTGCTTAGAAAGGCAGGGGCTCAAATACATGTTGAATGTATTGTTGCGTTAACTCCTTTTTGGCTAAATATTGGTTAACATGGATAATAATCCTCTACAATATTATAAAACATTCTTATAATTCAGGTATTCACTGTTCAAGCCCTTGCAGTTTTGAGGTTGTAAAAGTAGCATGATATAAACTCTATTAACTAATAAAATGACCTTTTATAAAATTAGCTTTCACTCAAGCATCCGTCCTGTTAGCTGCTGTGTCTGTTCCTGCTCACCTTGCCCATGTGTCTTGGGGTCAAATATCCAACAACACAGTTGCAAAGTGAAATTGCACATCTTGCAAAAGCTGCAGGATTTAATAATGTTAAAAGTGGTAAGGGGAAGAGCAGTAGAAGTGGTAATTACATGGGTAAATATAAATGGCTTTTTTTGTTATTTCTCTTTAAAAGACAGTTGCCTGCTTATGCAAAATAATAACAATGTATGTGGGGTTTATAACATACAGTAGAAATAAAAAGTGGCAACAATAGCAGAGAGGCTGGGAGGGAGGAGATGGAGTACGCTGCTTCACCGTATGTGAAGTGGTGTAATATCGCTTGAAGGTAGACTGGTGGTTACAGATGCGCCAAAACCTAAAGCAACAACCAAAATAAACACAAAGAGTTTTGGCTAATAAACTAACAAAGGAATTAAAATGAAATAAACACATAGTTAATCTAAATACTCAGTCCTAAAGAAGGCAGAAAAAGGGGGAAAGGAAGCAAAGAACAAATGGGACAGATAGAAAACAAGCGGCAAAATGGTAGATTAAACCCATCCTTACCGATAATCACATTAAAGATAAGTAGTCTAAATACCCCAGTTAAAAGCAAGATCAGTTAAATGCCATCTACAAGAGACCCACTTTAGATATAAAGACAACACAAAGTGAAAGGACAGAAAAACACATAGCATGCTAACACTAACCGGAAGAAAGTTGGAGTGACTATATCAATATCAAAGTGGATTTCAGAGCAAAGAACATAACACAAAGAGGGACATTTCATGTAATACAGGGTCACTTCATCAAGAGGACACAACAATCCTAAATGTTAATGCACCTAAAGGTGATCTTGGAGGACTGTGCAAACGATAGTGGCACTGATGACAAGTGAGGATCTGGCCGAGTTACACACTTAAGAGCTGCAGTAGAGAAAACAGACAAAGATCATGACACAACAGGCGTTCAGAAGAGAAGGATGTGACCATTAACTAGGTGGCACCCAGAATATATTTTCTAAAAAGACCCTTCTTAGAATAGCTCTGCAACCTTGTGGTAAAGGGTATTTTGTTGCATACAATTCTGTTGGGGAAATGAAGCCAACAAAACCAGTACTTGATTAGTAATGAAAAATGTGTTTATAGATAAACTCCATGTGTGCTTCGAGTGAGCTGTGGTTGAATAACTTCCACACTTGGCAGAACACAGGTTAAGTTTATGTCAATTACTCATGGACTCATGGTTACTTCATGCACTTGTAAATGCAGCCACTCATCCTGCACTTTCTTTTTTTTTTTTTTTGGCGGTACGCGGGCCTCTCACTGTTGTGGCCTCTCCTGTTGCGGAGCACAGGCTCCAGACGCGCAGGCTCAGCGGCCATGGCTCACGGGCGCAGCCGCTCCGCAGCACGTGGGATCTTCCCGGACCGGGGCACGTACCCGTGTCCCCTGCATCGGCAGGCGGACTCTCAACCACTGTGCCACCAGGGAAGCCCTCATCCTGCACTTTCTAGCTAACTTCCAGCCCAGCCACTTCACGTACCAAGTGGCTTTGGACCAGTTGTTGAACCACTCAGAGCTTCTGTTTCTTCTGTTTTGTCAAACGAAGATAATGATGCTCTTCCCAAGATGGAAGTTAGCGCTGAAGGAGAGGAGACAAGTGATTGAACACTCAGAGGCTTCATGCAATAGTGGTTGCTTTACTGTTGTATTGTAATGTCTGCAAACAAATGCAGTGCAGGCCTATTTGGAAGAGGCACATCCTGGAATGTGCCTGTCTCCTATTTAATGTGTAGAGTCATTGGCGTTTTTTGCAGTGTATCTGCTTCTTCTGAGTCAAAATGGAAAGAATTAGCTAAAATATTTGCCAGAGGAATGTGTTGTGGAGCCTTCTGCAATCTGCTTATCCCCCAAGTTTATCATAATTCTTAGAAGAGTGCACTGTTTTACATCTGAAGCAACATTTAACTTGAAGAAAGCTCTGCTTTTGTTTGTAATCACCTACTTAGCCTACTGACAGTTTGAAAGGCTTGCAAAGCAACCCACAAGTATTGTTTTCTTCTGACTCGAAGTATTTATTTAGTGATGAATGATACCTTATGGTAAGATCCTAAGTTCAAAGCATTTACTGTTTAAGGACAAAGTACAAGACAAGAAAAATAGGAAGAGGGATTGCAAAAAGATGAGAAGTGAAAGCTTTATTTTAGAAAGTTGTAGGAAATAGGACTGGATTTATGGATGGGCAGTAGAGAGGAGATTAGTGTTATTAATAGATTAAATATGTTCTATAACATGGCAGGCACTATAGAATACATAAAAATGTAGAAATGCTTGGTCTGTCTCCAGTATTTTGTGTGGTTTATCTCCTTGAATCTGCCCAACAGTCCTGTGTAATGGGTAATGTTACCTTCAGTTTTACAGGTGAAAAAACAGGCTCTCAGCTTTAAGTAACTTGCCCAAGGCCTTCAGCTAGCAAGCAGCGGAGCTGGATTTGAACTCAGACAACCACAGACTGTGTTATCTGCACACAATTATTTTCAGTGATTTTTGAAAAATAAAATCAGTTGGAATTGGAACAGGACATTATCCAGCATGATGCAGAAAGTAATTATTTTCTTGAATAAAGCTTTGTGGGTAAAAAGGTAGCTTAGTGGATGGGAGTGGTAAAAAGAAATTATTTGGCAAGAAAAGAATAAGTGGCCCTCCAAATACAGAAAAATTTATATTTCTGATAGAAAAGTGTAAGTTCCTGCAGACAGCTGGTTCTCAAACTTGGGCATATATCCCAGAGTTTGCTGCCCGAGAACCTGCATTTCTAATAAGCCCCCAAGTGTTGCTGATGCTGCTTGTCCAGGGTCTACACTTGGATATCATTGCTGTAGACAGTTTGAGAAGGGTGGAGACACAGCCTGTGTGTGGAAGAGGAATTCATCTGGGGAGAAGGGTGTATAGTATGTGGGCAAATCGTGGTGTTTTTTTTTGACTGTTCCACCCATGCATCTTGCAGGATCTTAGTTCCCCGACCAGGGATTGAACCCGGGCCCCCGGCAGTGGAAGCGTGGAGTCCTAACCACTGGACTGCCAGGGAATTCCTTAAATCATGGTTTTTAACAAGTCTGGGATAGTCAAGCTCGTGTTTTAGACTATGCAAAATAAAACATCTCTGCTAACTGTGGCTAAAAGAAGGTGGTGGTGAGGAGGGATGTAAAATACTTATAAGAACCTCTTAGAATGTGGGTTAGTGGCTGTTTTCAGATGTTGCTAGTGTCTAGGTCAGTGCCTGGCATATAAAAAGTGCTCAATAATAATTTCTGGCATGTTACTTCACCTCTTAGAATGGCTATCATCAAAGACAAGAGATAGCAAATGGTGAGGATGTGGAGAAAAGGTAGCCCTCATGCAGTGTTAGTGGGCGTGTAAACTGGTGCAGCCACTGTGGAAAACAGTATGGAGTTTCCTCAAAGAATTAACAGTAGAACTACCATGTGATCCAGCGATTTGACTTCTGGGTATATATCTGAAAGAAATGAAATCACTATGTTGAAGAGATATCTGCACCCTCGTGTTCACTCACAATAGCCAAACATGGAAACAACCTAAGTGTCCGTTGACAGATGAGTGGATAAAGAAGATGTGGTGTATGTATACAGTGGAACACTACTCAGCCATAACCAAGGAGGAAATCCTGCTATTTGCAGCAGCATAGATGGATCTTGAGGGCATTATGCTAAGTGAGATAAGAGAAAAAAACAAATGCTGTATGATCTCATTTATATGTGGAATCTTAAAAAAAAGAAGAACCTCATAGAAACAGAGATCAGATTTGTGGTTGCCAGGGGTAGAGGAATTGGTTGAAGGTGGTCAAAAGGTACAAGCTTCCAGTTATAAAATAAATAAGTTCTGGGGATGTAATGTACAGCATGATGACTATAGGTAATAATACTGTATTGTATATTTGAAAGTTGCTGAGAGAATAGATCTTAAAAGTTCTCATTATAAGGAAAAGGACGTTTGTAACTATGTGAGGTGATGTTAACTAAACTTATTGTGGTAATCATTTCACAGTATATACATATATCAAATCATTCTGTTGTACACCTTAAGCTTCTATAATGTTCTGTGTCAATTATATTTTTAACAAAACTAGAAAAAATTATCTGTTGCATAGACAAATAAGGGAATGAATTAAGAACTCCATATATTAAAACTACTGAACAATTATGTCCTCCCATTCTTCTTAGATCTCTCATAAAAGCATTTTTTAAAAATTTATCTTTTTGGCAAGGATAATTTTGGGGAAATTTTTCAGAATATACAAGGGGATGTTATAGTAAATTTCTCTCCTACTCTTGTCCCTTTTCCCTGGTTTCTTTC